GAGCGGTGGCAAGCAGGAGGGGAGGACAGCGTGCAGAGGAAGGGGAGAGCAGGGGGAAAAGCCCCCCCCCCTTCTCAGGAGTCCAGACCCGACGGCCACCCAGACGGCAGGACCAGCCCCGGCGGGAGGGGTGGGCGTCTGGATATACGACCGTCAGCCTGACGGACGAATCAAAGGTGACCGCCCCACGGTGGGGGGAGGTAGAGGGTCACACGAGGAGGGAAAGGAAGCAGCCCAGGGCAGAACTCGTTAGAGTTGGCGGGCTGACGAGTTACGGCAGGAGCCCCGTCAGCCGGACCGGAGCCAGCTGGTTCCGTGTCCTTAGGGCCCTGGGCTGGGGCCCGTGAGTGAGGGTGGGCCCGGGCCCCCCTTTCCCTCCCCTTCAGCACTGGAGGGAGTGCATGGTCAGAGTACCGGCCGCGCTGCGACAGAAGGCGCAATAGGCAACTGAAATTCCCCGTCGTGAAAGCGGCCCCTGAACTGCTGTTTGATAGTTAATGCGGCCCTCGGGCTGAAAAGTTTGGAGACCCCTGGTCTAGTTACATAAAAGCAAGTAGGATTTTCCCCTCACAGAATGAAATCAGATGCTTGAAACAGAGGGTATGTCTACACTACCCCGCTAGTTCGAACTAGGGGGGTAATGTATGCATACCGCACTTGCTAATGAAGCCCGGGATTTGAATTTCCCGGGCTTCATTAGCATAAGCGGGGAGCCTGTTTGTTGGTGATTTTGAGGATTGAAGGCCAGAAGTGGGGGTTCAGGAAGGATTTCTGTCTGCATGGGGTCCCCATGGTGTATGGGTTCTGGCTGTTTGATGGCACCCCGTGTGGATGCCAGTGGGGGGTGGCGGGTGATAACGAGGGCTGCGTGGTCAGAGAGGTTTTATTTCTGTATTGAAGCGGGTTCTCCTGGGTTTTTGGGTGGCCCCTTCCTTGATGCAGTCTGCTTCTCTGGCTCCCCGCTTATGCTAATGAAGCCCGGGAAATTCAAATCCCGGGCTTCATTAGCAAGTGCGGTATGCATACATTACCCCCCTAGTTCGAACTAGGAGGGTAGTGTAGACATACCCTGAAGGATTTTAAATCAAGAAAGTTTTGACAATGTTTAGCTGTGTGTGGATATTCAATTTGAATCAAAGAATTGTAGGACTGGAAGGGACCTAAAGAGGTGATCAAGTCCAAACCCCTGCCCTCATGGCAGAACCAAGCACCATCTAGACCATCCCTGACAGGTGATTATCTAACCTGCTCTTAAAAATTTCCAGTGATGGAGATTCCACAACCTCCTTTGGCAATTTAGTCCAGCTCTTATCCACCCTGACAGGAAGTTTTTCCTAATGTCCAATGTAAGTCACCTTGCTGCAATTTAAGCCTATTTCTTCTTGTCCTATCCTCAGAGGAAAAGGAAAATAATTCTACTTCTTCCTCTTTGCAACAGTCTTTCAGGTACTTGAAAGCTATCATCATATCCCCTCTCAGTCTTCTCTTATCCAGGCTAAACAAACACAGTTCTTTCAATGTTCCCTCATAGGTCATGTTTTCTAGACCTTTCATTATTTTTGTTGCTCTTCTCTGGACTTTTTCCAATTTGATCCTATCTTTTCTGGAACGTGGCTCTCAGAACTTGACACAATATTTCAATTGGGGCCTAATCAGCAATGGGTAGAGTGGAAGAATTTCTTCTTGTTTCCTACTAACAACACTCCTGCTAATACATCTCAGAATGATATTTGCTTGTTTTGCAACAGCTTTACGCTGTTAACTCATATTTAGCATGTGGTCCACTATGACCCTGGTACTTACTCCACAGTACTCCTTCTGAGGTAGTCCTTTCCCATTTTGTATGTGTGCGGTTGATTGTTTCTTCCTAAGTGGAGTATTTTGCATTTGTTCTTATTGAATTTCATACTGTTTACCTCAGATCATTTCCCTAGTTTGTCCAGACCATTTTAAATTATAATCCTATCCTCCAAAGCACTTGCAGCCCCTCCTATCTTAATATAATCTGCAAAATATGTGTACTCTCTATGCCATTATCTAAGTCATTGATGATTATAACTAAACTGTTCTCTGTTTACTATGTAGCCTCAATTTACTTATTCTTTTCTAGTTCTTTATATGCTTCAGATGTTACCTGTATTGTTATATTTTTCCCTTTTTTTCCCCTTTTATTCTTCTTTTGCTTCCGTTTGTTCATCTTCAAAGTTTCACAAGGTAAGGTTTTCTTATTCTTATCAACTTCCAGTGGGTAAAATCCTGCTCTAACTACTGTAGCAAATTTCCACTGAAGTCAATGAATGTTTACCTCAATTAAAGACCTTAGGATTTGGCTGAGCATGTTTTACTCATTTTCAGCCAAAAATCTGACCTTGTATGTGTGTACAGAAGGCTTCCAGTTATCTGAGTAGGAAATTTTTGCAGGCACAGCCTAGGGAAGAGTTCTCCCCTCTGTGTGTGTCTGTATGTGTGCGCGCGCGCGTGTGTGTGTGAGAGTGTTGGTTTTTTTAATGCTCCATCTGCACATAAAACTGCCTCGGTTTAAGTAAAGGTGTGATACTAAATTGGTGCAAATTTATGTGTGAATCCTAAGGTCTGTTAACACAGTGTGGGGATGATTCTAACTTGGGTTTTGTTTTTTTAAATCTGTATCTCTCTATTGCTTGTTGAAACAGTTCCTCAAAGATACAGGTTGGGATACTTTCCAGTAGTTTACATTGAGCATTTGTATTCACAGGGTTTGACAAACTGTGCTGTATAAAAAAAGAAAGAGTAGAAAGCTGTTTTAGGATTGAAATGTCCTTCTGAAATGCTGGCCATTTAAAAATTGCTTGAGATTCAAGAAGTGATATTGACCAGTCTAATTTCACTATCCAAGGTAAAGGGTGGGAAAAAAGGTGAAAACGAAATGGCATTTTAATTGTTTCATTTTAAACATCTTCATTGTTATTGGTCACACAGAGAAGGATAACTGTTGTTTTTTATATAGGTGAGTGCCACATTGATGTAATGATAATAACCATTGGCTCTGTTGGGAAAAGTCAGGTGGCCATATTGGTAAAAACATTGTGAGCACCTAGAAAAAGTAAAAAAAAAACCAAATGCCGCCCGTCATGGTCATATGGCATCATGACAAATAAGCAGAGGGAGGGTTTTCCAATAAGGTTTCTCTCTCCTGACCATTGTCATCTGGGGAGCAGTTGCAGGGAATAGAATTCTGACCTACACTGCAGCTGTACAGTCAATAAACCCAACACAAGTGACATGATTTCAATAAGCTGCAGTCCCCGCATGCCACTTGCTCTGTTTGCTGTCTAGTGTTTGTAGGCAGCACATCAGAGGTAAATTTTAAGGGGAGATTTGAAGGATGATTATATACATTCCAAAGGGAAGCCTGGGCTGGGCAGGATGGAGGTATTGCCAGATCCCCTTATCTTTCACTGGTCCCTCCCTCCATAGCACTCTGAGGCCAGCCATATGGGAGGGAGCTGCAGCCACTGCTCCCCAGTGTACTTAGCACAATGCCCTAATAGGCACCCTGAATGGACTGGCTCTGTGTCCTCCAAACCACGCCTCCCAGCCCTCCCCAACACACCTGCCACAACACATACCCAAATTCCTCTCAGAACTGCACATCAGAAAGGGCAATGACCAGGCTACCCCCAAATGGGTTAGTCAGAAATGATGACCCCAAGCCCAAGCCCCCCTTAACGCATGCCATTGCACAGGGGGAACTAAGTGAAAGGAAATTCTCTGCCCTCCTTCTTAGCTGACCAGGGTGGCAGCAGGTCCTGTTAAACATGACCCATTGGCGATTCATTGTTTGCCATTCACCAAGGCTATGGACCATGAAACAACATTTTAATCATGTTCCCTTCCCACCTCCCCCCAACAGGCTACAAGGAGCAGGGGATCCCACAGCAGCTGTAATGGCTGGGACAAGGGTGTTCCAAGGAACATGGTGAGAGGTTATGTTTGCCACTGTGGGCACAAGGACCTTTCCATTTTCATTTTTCTTTTCTTTTTTTTTTAAACCAATGCGTGCGCCTGTTCAGCGGAGCGGAGGTGCAGAGCAGCAGATGGAGACCTTCACTGAGCCCTTTTAGAACCAGAGATGAGTCAAACACGACAGAGGTTAGGACTGGCACAGCCAACACATCGTGATGGGCAGGCACTCCCAAGGAGGGAGGAAAACTGGTAGAATGAGATGCTGCTAAGGAAGATGGCACTTGGGTCAGCGGTGAGAAGAGCGGGGAAGCTGCTTTCTCCATCCTCAGGGTGTGAGGCAGCTGGAGACATTTGGCCTCCTTGTAGTTCACCATGAAAGGAGCCCAGCTGTGAACAGCAAGATGAAGTAGATATTTATAGATATATGTACAGTATTTAAATGCAAAAGCTGAGTGGTACCTTGTTTCCTGAGAGCCCTTTTTGACTGCTTCTTGATAACAGGGGCTCAGCTCAGCTTTGTCTGCTGCCTGTGTTTATGATGCTCTCTCGAGCTCTGTCGTTGCAGATGCCCTGAGGTTTTGCTTGTGGCCATTCTAAATCATACTTTACTGGTGACCTAGGCTGTGAATATGCCCTGCCTGCTTTTCTACCTGTCAAAAGAAAAGATTGGACCTGCCATGAGCCAACAACAAACTGGTTCTTACAGAGGATTGGGATTCCGTGGCATGGCCTGTGCTTTGTGTGTTTAGCAGTGTATGTGTGTGTAGTCTGATACTATTTAGCAGGTTTGTGGGGGTTGTATAGTGGGTTCTGAAGTGGGGATGTAGTGGTGTGTATGTAGCAGGGTGTGGGGGAGTGTAATGGGTTGTGTATGGGGATGCAGCACATTATGTATTCAAGTGTGTGTAGCAGTGTTGTGTAGCAGGGTGCTGGTGTAAACTGGTATTTACAGAGACTAAGATCACTCTCCCCCACCTGCCCATGAAAGAGACTTCAGTTAAATAGCACCATACTGGGAAAATTAATGTAGTGTGTGTTTTAATTAATGTACTGGGCTGCATGATTTAGTGGTCTTGGTCCTTTTTCTAGTGGACAAGTGCCCATATTTCAAAGACCACTTCAACAGATGCTGGTGTAAACTGGTATTTACAGAGACTAAGATCACTCTCCCCCACCTGCCCATGAAAGAGACTTCAGTTAAATAGCACCATACTGGGAAAATTAATGTAGTGTGTGTTTTAATTAATGTACTGGGCTGCATGATTTAGTGGTCTTGGTCCTTTTTCTAGTGGACAAGTGCCCATATTTCAAAGACCACTTCAACAGATGGGGCTATCTGGACACCATGTTAGTAACCTTGGCTACAAGGTTAAGGACTTACTGAGGCATGGACAATTAACTACCCTTTCCAGCCTAAAGCGGTGGTCCCTTCAGGTCAGGGCTGAGCCATACTGGTATTGTGAAGCACAGCCTCTGTCTATTGTCTGCCTGAAGGCTAAAGGCAGGACTTCACTCTCCAGGCCCTTCAGAGTGAAATTGATGGGAAGACTGATGGCCTGATGTTCAGTGGTACTGTGGGTATTCAGCACTTCTGAATATCAGGCCCATGGAGCATTGTAAGTTTGCCAGTCACTTTCCTTCAATGAGAAGATGCCAAGAGGAGCCCACAAAGGAGCAAAATCCTACTGCCATTCCCACCCTTTGGGAACTATCTTTTCTGTGAACTAATTAAAAATCTGCATAGCCTTAATTGAGATGCATCATAACAGAGACACATCCAAGTGCAAGTCTCCTCAGTCACTCCCTCTCCCTTTCTCTTATGCACACCTCTCTGTTTCATAAGTAAGAGAACCAGTGGGGGAGGGGCTAGGATAAGCTCCACATAGCTTTCTATCCAGATTTCCCTTGCCCTAACAGTCCGCTTTTGGACCATGCTAAGGTTTCCAGACACTCAGAGCAAACAGTTATGTTCAGTGAGAATGACCTTTAATCTAGTTGAAAGAGATAAAGAAAGAACAGAAGTAAAGTCTCTATGATGGACTACCAATGGCAGATATGGGCCTCCTCTATGATAGTCAGCACTAGCCTGAACACAAAAATGGCTGCTTCGCTGTGCAGACAGCCAAATCTTTTCAGATTTAAAAGTGGCAATGCTGAGAAAACCAAGAAATAACAGTTATGTAATTAGATACACCACAACTCAGCACCTCTCTCCAGACTAAGATGTGCCCTGCATCTGGATGTAAATAATTACCACAGGAGTCATAGATGGGAGAGTAACCCAATTTCAACACTATCATCACCACTAAGCAAGTAGCTCAGACCATCTCAGATGCTCTTCTCCCAGCTGTAACAGGACAGCTGGTCTTCATTTAAGGCTGTGCTCTCTCTTCTTCTGAAGCCAGGGTTTCATCCCTCACCCCACACATCACTCACATCTTCCTGTTTGGTCAGGATTTCACCTGTGCATTTCATTCATCTTTTGTCTAAATTTCAGAGACACTCCTCCAATATTCCCTCTAATCTTTTCCATTAATGTGCAGAATAAATTTTGTTGTGGCAAAATGTGCAAATGTGCAAATGTGCACTACCAGTAGAAACAAAAACCTTTCTGTGGGTACCCTGCTAATCAGCTAGGCAGCATTTAAATCTCTCCTAAGTGGCTGCACAGGCATCCAGTTTACAAGGAACACTGCTCCCCTCAGCCTTTGTTTGGCTAAACTAGCCAAACTCCTGAAGTCTCATCTCATAAGATAGGTTCTCCATTCCTCTTATCATCCTAGGAACCCTGCTCTATACTGTTCCAGCATGAGTTTATTTTTTGGAAGAGCAGAACTGCACACGGTATTCCAGATGAGGTCTCACCCGTGTAATGGTAATATCACATTTCTGTCTCTGTGAGCAATACCTCACCTCAATCTGGGCATTGAGACTGAGAACACAGTGAGGACATACCCAAAGACCAGGCATGGGAATATAGATCCACACTGAAGTCAAACTGCCCTAATGGGCAATGGGTTGAGGATCTGTCAGACATGGAAAGAAAGGAGAGTGAGTTCAAGAGCCCAGGTATCCTCACTGAAAGTTTCCAGGCCTCTTACATTTAAACTTGGGGGGTGCTAGCTGAAGTACTTTAACTGATCTCAGCTGCCTTGATATCCCACATGGAGACTGCAAGAGACTAGCTATGATGACCCAAATCCTCAATATAAACAACTGATTTTATGTTGTTATATGTTTATTAGGCCGCTGATGTACTTTAGGCACGCAAAGACACTACCTAATGGGTAAGCACCAAGCTAGGAAGATCTCTAACCAGCCAACATGCTTACACAGATGCAGGGTTACTTGTGAAAATGAAGAAGTTCAGCTGAAAATGAATCCCAATATGTGGGGGAGAGGCGCACAGCCTTTGATTAGTTTCTGAGGGTGGTGGACATCTGGTTCTTCAAGGACAACTGGCACAAATTTAGAAAAAGGAGCAGCACTGGGCACAGCTCACTGAGGGTGCATCTACACTGCACCTGTAGCTCAAAATAAATGACATGATTTGAACTACACAAATTGTGTTACTTATTTCGAGTCAATCTCAAAATAGCCTATGTTGAAATTTGGCACTGTCTACACAGTATTTATTTCAGAATAAATTGCTATTCTGAAACATCCCTTACACCTCGTGGAATAAGGTTCATAGGCACATCAGAAAAGTGAACCCATTATATTTCAAAATAATGGGTGTGCTCAAAAGACGTGGAATAGCTATTTGGCGATACCTCCAGTACCCGAAATAGCGCTGCAGTGTAGACGTAGCCTCAGGGAAAGATCAAACAGCCCTGGGTTTGCAGCTCAATCAGATCAGCTTTCCTTTCCATGGCAGAGCTGCCTGAGCTAGCCTTTCATGCACAATAGCGCTGTCTGCCTCCAGCTCTCAGACCACTTTATGAATGTAGGCATCAGTGTCTCCATTTTATCAATGAGAAACTGAGGCACAAGGAAGTGAAATGACTTGATGAAGATCATGCAGCAAACCCATGACCTTGGCCTGATGCCCTTTGCATTGGACTCCACTGCTAAGTTAAAGACCTAGGCTACGTCTACATTGGCATCCCTTTCCGGAAAAGGGATGCTAATGAGACGAGTCGGAATTGCAAATCCGCGGGGGATTTAAATATCCCCCACGGCATTTGCATTTACATGGCTGCCGCTTTTTTCTGGCTTGGGGATAAGCCGGAGAAAAGCGCCAGTCTAGACGTGATTCTCCAGAAAATAAGCCCTTTTCTGGAGGATTTCTTATTCTTATTCTTGAAAGTAGGAATAAGAAATCCTCCAGAAAAGGGCTTATTTTCCGGAGAATCGCATCTAGACTGGCGCTTTTCTCCGGCTTATCCCCAAGCCGGAAAAAAGTGGCAGCCATGTAAATGCAAATGCCGCGGGGGATATTTAAATCCCCCGCGGATTTGCAATTCCGAAGTGTCTAATCTGCATCCCTTTTCCGGAAAAGGGGTGCAGTGTAGCCACAGCCCTAGCATTCTGCACCCATTATAAAAAGAGAAATAAATGCCCCTTAAATGTGGCTGCTGTGCATGGCTAGAACTCGCCTTTCAGCTCTGCACTGCAGAGAAGAGATCTGCAAAGTGGGGCAGAGAGGAAAATTTCGCCCTTTAAAATTATGGATGAAAGTACATTTAAAGAACAAAACACCAACTCTGGAGACTTTTTTTTTTTTCTAAATCACACAAAGCAGACAGCAGCAAAGTGGGTTTGTTTGAGTGATAGGTGCCAGTTTTTGCTTTTCCTTAATACAGGACTGGGAATGATGAACAAAGAAAACTGCTATCATTGTCATTACCCAACATGCAGAGGCAGAGATGGTTACTTCACTTTGTCCCTTAGAAAGTTCCACAACAGCCTCATGTTAAAAAAAAACAAACAGGGCCTGGTTTATCAATAGTGAATGACATGGGGAATACTCCCCAAGCATTGTATGAATCACCTGGATTAAAGCCAAGTGACAGGATCATCAGGATTACTATTACTACAGTAATTACCCTCAGCAATCCCCCTCTGAATTTAAATCTTTTTTGTAATTGACCCCATAGAATACAATACTGCATGGCTGTTCATTATTCACTGATCGTACTAGGCTATAATAGTAGCTTGCACTTCTTAGCTCCCTCAGGCTCAAAGAACGCTACAAGTATGGAGGAATTAAGCTTCAAAACACCTTGCAGCATGTAGGGCTTGTCTTCACACACACGTATACAGTAGTAAGTTGCACCAATGCAGCTGTACAGCTGTAATATTTGAGTGAAAACTTTACTACCCTCACATAGTTAATCTGCCTCCCCAAGAGGCGGTAGCTAAGTCCCCTTGACATAGAGCTGTCTCTACAGGAGGTGTTAGAGAAGTATACTTATGTTGCTCAGGAGGAGTGTTGATTTTTCACCTCTCTGGGCAGCGTATTATACAGATACAAGTCTGGCTTTAGCCCTCACTTACTCTCCCCACAGACAACGATATCCCTTTTACAGCTGGGGAAACAGAGGCACAGACCTCACTATGGTAAAAAGGGGAGTTGGTTGTACAGCCATGAACAGAACTCCATCATCATATGCTCTGGCCACTGGGCATCACTCTCCATCTGGGTACATAGTTCATTGCAACTAGTGGCTGACCCAAATCAAAGGGCTCAGTGATTCGACTGAGGTGAGGGCGGTAATGTAGACCCTCTAGTTTTCAGTA